GAGCAATCCTAATACATAATTCAAATATAAATTACATATCTGAAATACATAACATATAAAAACTGACACACATAATATAAAACTTCATTAAAATAAAACATAAAATACAAATTAAACATATAACATTACATAAGATGGATAAGCAACTCTCAATAATCTGGTAGATCGGATCCAGAGTGCCAATATCATTTTGTTTTATTATTTTATTAGTTTAACTTTTTAAGTAATAAATTATTTTGTTTGAAAAATATGTGAAAAAGAATAAAATTTGATATGTGGGGTTAATTGTTGAAATAGTTAAAAATATAGGGAATAAAAAAATAATAATATAAAAATAGATAAAAAGGAATATTCTGAGAATATTTTTTTAGGTGCAAAAAATAGTACAGTGAGTTGAAGATGAATTACTATTTGATGTGACTTTTGCACCATTTTGATGCAAAATTTGCACCATTTTGATGTGATGGGTTTGAGATGACCTAAAAGACAAGTTCTTTTTCCCTCGCCCCCAATAGAACTTCAGAGTTTGTTGTGAATTAGGACCCTACCCGCTCTTGGTTCTTGGATGCATCCCCTTCTCTAAATGGTAGAGAAAAGGAGGATATCTGTCGACTAAGAGCGTTTAAGGCTTTAGAGATGGCTGCTAGAACTTTGTTTTTCGTTATGCGGGTGTCGCAACTCCTAGGTCTCCTTCCCTTCCTGAGGAGACCACAAAATTTATTTCTTTTGTGGATGATAAAAAAAAGAAGATGATGAAGGTCGGGATGAAGAAAGCTTCAGTTAGAAGAGTAACGCTTTGGCTTCTTCTGCCCCTGCTCCCGGGGCCCTGTCCCTTTCTAAGGATCTTGCCTCCAAGGATCTCCCTGCTCTAAAAAAGATTACTCTATTTTCTCCTGTTGAGGATAAGAAAGATTAAAAAGAGGAGGAAAAAGAAAAAAACTAAAAACTCCAAGGTGTTCTCTTACATCAGTTGTACTATCCTACACCAATAACATATTGCCAAGTTGTCATACTTACTGCTCAATAAATATCTTGCAAGCCAAGTCAATACCTTTAAGGTCTAAGTATATATCATAACTGTTAGACCCTAGAGGGGGGGTGATTAGGGTCTTATGCTAATCTAATCCGATTATATGGAAATTAAAATTAATTAACAAGTTATCCTAGCAAGTATGAAATACAACAAGCTATATGAGCTAGGATAAGCAATATGAACTAAGAGATATATCCTAGTAACGAGATGTACTATCGAGATATATGCAAGGATATATAATTAACACAAGGGTAAACAAACTAAACTAGATAGTGGGCAATATAATCAACAAGCAATATACAAAGGCGATATAAGATATGAACATAAAAATAAGTGCGTCAAAGCAATCACAGACAAACGATATGATTACGGAGTTCGGTCCCCACGACCTACGTCTCCGTTCCTCACCTCAAAGAGATCTCCACTATCACAACCGAGTTTTCTACGTTCACCCGAATAACGTTTACATCTCACAATACAATCACTATGCAATCACACCTCACACACTAAGTATTGGTCCTAGCACGTGTCCTCCTCCTCAAGTGCTCGGTTACAACCTCTCCCTAGGCACGTCAACCGACGCCACTCCTTCTGGATTTGACCCCGTCTCTCACCACACACTTCTCTAGGTGTACAAGTGTATTACAAGTGAATCCTCACAATTAAGCACAATATAACAAATGATTGTTCTCTCTAACAAGGTGAGAACTCAATTAAGCTCACTCTCAATGTCACAAACCCACAACCCTAAATTATATTATGAATGTAAATACAATAAGCTCAATAGGTTGTGTGTGAACAAAGAGATAAAACAATATAAACTCAATATGAAATCTAGCTTATGAAATTAAGAATAAACTTATAAAATGCTAGAATTTAGTTTAAGGAAACTTCTCTAAAGATGACAAGAGAGTGGGAGAAGAGTGAATGCTCAAACACCAAAGGATGATCTCCACTTGCTCTTGTGAAATTGAATTCACAAACTCAAAACACTCAAATGCTTAAAAGCTCATAAACACACTTTAAACAAACTTAAACCATTGATTAAAACTTTCTTAAACTTTTTTTGAAACTCTCTTAGATAATTGAAAATAGTTATGGCAAAGGGGTATATATAGGCTTGAAGAAACCAACCCCAAAAACCCCAAAAAAACCATTCTGCAACGGCTCTAAAAAGAGCCGTTGGAACTACAGCAGTCGACCGAAGAAAATCGCGGTCGACCGCGAACAAGGTCAGAAGCGGAGAAATTTTCCAGACAGTTCGTTGGTCGACCGGCACTGTAGCGCGGTCGACCGGCGGTACTGTAGCAGGTATATCCGGTTTTATAAAATCAGTAAAAAATAGTAAAACAGCTCCAAAAATTATAAAATTTTGTGGGAAGGTTATAGACATGTAGAATGACATGTTAGAGAAAGAATTTCTGAAAAATAATTTCCCAGTTGAGAGAAATAAATGTTTGAATACAGATTTACAGTTTCTGAAAAACTGCAGACATACACGATTTATAAATGTTTGAATACAGATTTACAGTTTCTGAAAAACTGCAGACATACACGATTTTGTAAAATCAATTAGGCACAGTAAATTAACTCCAAAAATAGTAAACTTTTGAAGAAAGTTTCTAAACATGTAGATAAACATGTCAAAGAAAGAATTTCTTGAATATCACTTCCCATTTATGAAAACTCATCTGTTTTGTAAAACATGCACGAACATGCACGAACATGCACGAACGAAAAACATGATTTTGTAAATTCAATTAAACGTAACAAATCAATTTCGAACGAAAAACATGATTTTGTAAATTCAATTAAACGTAACAAATCAATTTCAAACTTGATGAAACTTTGTGAAATATTTATAAACATGAAAACAAACATGTTAGAAAAAGAATTTATCAAATTGAATTTCTATTTGTGAAAACTCATGTATTTTGTATGTATGTCCAAAACATGAAAACCCAAAACCATGTATGTATATATATAACTATATATATACATAGAAACCAAATACGTGTATGTATATGATATTGAACTTAAAGTACTTAACACACATAATATAAAACCTAAACTAGATTACCCAAGCCGATCTTGATCTTCAATAAGCTTGACTTAGTACACTTTGCGGATGAAGCTTGAACTTGAATTGCATAAGCTTCACCGACATTCCACCAACCTCCTTTGAATATGATCGTTGAAGCTCTATTCCATCCATCCTCCAACTCGTTGTTTGCCTAAAATAAATACAAAAACACAAACACTAGACAAACATTCCATCCATCCTCCAACTCGTTGTTTGCCTAAAATAAATACAAAAACACAAACACTAGACAAACAACATGAGAAGTAAATTGTTTGTTAAATATCATCAAAATAAGAAGGCCAACAATAACAACCTCGGCCCTTAGGATGAAAATCATATAGTGGCTGATTAGCCTTAGGCAATCAATGTAAATACCCCTCTTACATCAGATAAGAAAACAGATCGAGTCTTGACCTAGGCTTGCTACCACCAACCAGGGGTTAGTGTTCATCTTCCTCTAAGAACCTAGCCTAAACACCTATTGTTTTGATCTCTTTCTACAAAAGGATCTTAATTTCCAAGAATCATAACTTCTTTTATCTTACTAAATTCAAAATTCTTTTTCTGATTAAAATTTATCTTTTAGAGGGAGTTCTTATGGGATTAGACAGCTAGCGGAAGAAGAAATATTTCAAAGATATATTTTTTAAGAATACACAGTAGAGTAACTTGTAGGGTTTGTTACTAGAAGCCACCTTAGAAATAGAGTAATTATACATAAACAGCCTCTCAATCAAATTTTCACTAAAAAAATCAAAACTAAGGTTAAAATTTCAAGCTCAATGTACGTAAGTTGTATAATAATAAAACCTAAACATTAAAAAAATGAGTCGCATGTCTTGAATGTGAATTTTTAAGTGTAAATTTGAATTTTTCATTAAAAATTTGACTCAGATGTGATTAAGTGCAACAAAAACTCACTTTAAAGGTAGTTTACACGTATATTGAAATCAAAAGGTAATATTTGTATAGTTACCATATTTTTAAAATGGTGATTTCTAGAAAAAAGCCCTAATTTGTATCTAAGACTCCAAGTTTCTTGAATTATTTTAACTCGGATTATGGAATTTGTCACATTAATGATCAAAGGAGCTCAGCAAATGCTTTAAATGTTAATCTTAACTGTACTGCAAGTGTTGGACTACTGCACGCAAAAATAAATACCTTTCTAGTAAATTGCAAAAGAAAATCATAAGTTTTCATGGACCAAATTTGAGTGGTACTACTCTACTAATATAGTTAGCATTTTCCTTGTTAATAGGATTAATAAAGTTTGTTTTATAGCTGAAAGCACAAGAGTATCAGCTACTTTTAGGGGCTGTTACGTTTGCTGTAAAAATAAATTATAGCAATTGTTGTATTTGACATTTGTTGTAGTAAATCAACTTTAATATCATTGTTTGGATATCTACAATTATATTGTGGGAGATGTATTTCCAATACAAATCTAGAGTTTGGTTGAAAAATAATTAGTGCAAAAGATACATAATTTTGTCAATTAAGGAAACTTGTTGTAGGCGGATTTTCAACTTGGATTTAAAAAGATTTTTTCTGATGAGGTTATATTATATTTATTTTTAAGTTTCCTTTTTTGAAGGCTGCATTTTTTTCCTCCCCACCAAATAAGCCATTGCATTTGTTGCAAGATTTTTCTACAAAACGTAACTCTATTTACATTTCCTAACTATAAAGTTGCAAGTGTAGTTATAAATCCTATGGCTCTATTTACTCTTACAACTTCATTTCCATCCAATCAAACCACCACTTAAAACAAGTCTCTGAGCGATAATTTTCTGCATTGCATCAAGATTTTAGGATTTGCTTAATGTTACATTCAATTCCAGAAAATTAAGCAAATAGTTTAAAAAGTTCTGCATGAGTTCGGTTTTTAACATATTTTTTTCTGGAATATGAAAATTCTGATGCCGGTCAATTGCTATAATTAGCATCAAGACAGTACCTTTTCTCTGAGCCAATAATGACAGATGATTCCAGCTACTAGGAAGCAATAAATCCAACATACTACAAGCAAAGGAAAACTTAGTTATCGTCCGCCAAAATTTAACTTCTATTAATCGAGATTGGGTCAATTTTGCTTACATAAACCACCCACGTAGAATTAAATGTGAAGCCTCTCTTTCCTAGTCCAGCATTATGACGTCAGAAATTTATCCTTTTTTAATCTTTTTTAATTAATTTTAGCGATTTCTATGTTGTCGAGTACAAAGAATCAGGTCCACTGCTCTTTATCGCCTTCTTTAGCATTATGACGTCAGAAACCCCCCCTTTGAGCTTCAAGTTACCATTTTCAGCAAACTCCGGTCCCCTCCAATAATAGCACGTCTCCTTCATTCAACCCCTCTCAGTCCCACGTGTCAGGAGGCCCCATACTGACACGTGTCCAGCAGCCTTTGGCCACAAAAGAAATACCAACATACGATGGGGTTTTTGGCCATTAACCATTTGCTTTCATTATTCTGTTTGGTTAAAGTCTTCAGTTCAGTACCCTTCTCAATCTTCTTTCACGTCTGACCGTGTCTCATTTGTAATCCTCCATTATTTAGGCGAGGATTTATGGGTATAAGTTACCGGCTTGACCGATAAATTAATTATCGTTTAAATTTTGCCAAGGGTAGTCAAGTTTGGTGTTATGATTTGTTAGGGTTTATGCTTTAACAGCAAAATCATGCTCATTCGCGCGCCGATACAACAGAGCTGAGGCTTCTACCCTGTCCATAGTAACATGTGTGTTTCAGTTTCAAAATAAAGATATTTACTTTGCAGTGCAAGAAGGATGGATCAGTTTCAAACTGCCATTCGCACCAAATCTTTGAATTTATAGTTTTTTTAATTAATTAAACAAAATCTCACCATCCTGGGTAGACGACAAATCTTCCTGTGGAGAGAGCCCAATTCACCTGAGAGATACAAAACAGGTAAGGGGCCGAGCAGTTGATTAATCACTTTATGAGCATGGCTTGCAAGTTTTGAATTTTAAGAGCGTCCGTAAAACTAGGTAAATCAAAGAAAGTAATACAAAAACCTTCCTAGCTCTTAAAAGTGACAATTTAGGGCACAATTTATAATTTCTAATCAAATAATCACCAATTTCTTTTTCAATGTTAATCAACAATTTTTACCACAAAACAATCGTATATATGTTTGTTTGTTTTTTTTTTTTTGTGTTATATCTTATAATAATAGATCCAAACTAAATTCAAAACTTCTAATGAGGGATCAAACTGACACTTTTGAATAGGGATGAAAAAGGATATGGATATCAACAAATATATCCGTAACCATATCCGCTACTATATGAATATGTATATTAAATATCCACACCCGAAAATATGTGGATACTCGTATGAATATCAATTTACACTTTTTAGGATTAGGATCACACATGGATTAGATAAATATCCAGATTTGAACATCTGGATACTTGCATTGATCATAGGGTACAACTATTTTAACCTTAAAATAGTGGAATTATGCTTTATAGACAGCATCAAATAGCATATATACATCTAGACATCTATCTCTCATATGAGATATGTAAATCTTTCTCTCAACCGACCCCCAACTATATTCAACCTGAGTGGATATGGATATGAATTTTTGTTACCTAACTACAATCCATTTGTTCATGCATCTGTTATTTAATAGTAAGTGCATACAAATATGGTATATGACATATATGATCCATTTGTTCCCTAGTTGTGAAGCACTTTTCTGTAATTTACCTTAAATTTTGTTCTTTTAACCTTTCCCCTGTTTGTTTATAGCATATAAGGGTAGCTTGGTACTGCTATGTTTATCTTAAGAGGTGTGTTTGGTTTGGTGTAGCTGGAATGTTGTTCCAACTACACCAAAAATCCAAAGGTGTTGTATAGTTAGATGTTGTTACAACGCCAAAAGGTTGTGGCAACAACAAACTAAGCCAAAAATAGGGGCGTTGGTACATCCCTCAATTTCAAGAGTGTTCCAACACCATGTGTTGAAAAAACATGGTGTTGTAAAAACATTTGTTGTTTCAACTTCACCCCAACCAAACACACCCGCAGGCTAATTCTCTTTGGTATTGAAGAAACATATGTGCGATATTGGGATTATACCTTATCTGTTCCCCTGGAGTTTGCAACAACATGAGTAACTTTCTCATCTATTTGATTTGTGCACTCAGCACCAAACTGCTCAGCAGTCTGCCATAGAGGATGGAGATGAGGATTGGCTTCGCCCACCGGAAACACTCTACTGAAGACTATCTTGCATCCAGCGAGAATCTTCCTTTGCTCAGAAGCAAGTATGTTTCTGATGTCTACTTCATTTAATGAGTCGTGAGAGAAGAAGATCTGATGTAATCGTTCGATGACCTAGTTTTAAAAGGCAAACATACAACATCAACTTATATTGTGTACTTGTAGTTAAGCTAGAGGATAAATTACATAAAACCACTCGGAACTTTATAAATCATAGCAAACCCCGTAAACTTTCAAAATTATACTAAATTTCCTGGCCTACTGGAAATTCTCATAAACGGTGTTAATGGGTAGAGGAAAAAGTGTAACTATTCATTTTGCTTATCCTTAGCTGAGAAGGGTAATAATATAAAGCTCATATTTAGTAGATATGGGTACATTGTCCAAAAGTTCACTTCGAGGGCACATGACAACTTGAAGTAATTGTTGTCAATTATGGTATTTAAATGAGAGCAATTCACCTTATAAAGATAGGGGTTTTTGTGGAATTTAACCTAAAATATTTGAGAAGTGGAGAGAAAGGGGAAGAAGGTCATACCGCCAGTGACGAAGCTAGAGTCCCAGCTTCCGGTCTCTCGTCATGATCAATCTCCAGAAGTGAAGGCCCAGCTAGCCCGAACTGCCGTCTACTAGAGGGGAAATATGTGTACCTAAAATAAATCACTCTATGTCACTATAAAAGGAAACTAAATTATTCGTCGAACAGATGCATCTACACGTATAGACAGAAACCTCCTACTAGGTTAGTTCGACAACATTCTATCTTTCATAGCTTTATTTCTGATATCTAATGGTTTTCATGTCAATAACGCAAGTTTGCAGGTACCTTTCTACAACAATTAAATTGTGCTTGTTATGTGGCCAGACCCTCAAGGAATCATCTATAATCACCACAGCTGATTCCATACCCAATACTCCATCAAGATCCTTGCTCTTAGGTACCCTCTCGTCACCATCAATAGAATCATCGTCATCACCCTTTGAGATCACTCGTCCAGAAAATAAAGTCCCCTTCGGGTCAAGGACCTTTGCCATCTCAGTTGCATACAGCTTGTTCCCCATTGTGTATAAATGAAGTTCATAGAGCTTGCTTGCCTGAATCAATATGGATATTTTCAGTATACAATCAAGAATGCAACTGAATAATGCACATATATATCATGCAAATTGGTTGAGTCATCTTTTACCTTCTCTAGAAATCTCCATATTCCCGGTCTCAGCTTGGTCCACATTCCCATATGTGGAAATCTAAAAAGGTGCCTCTCTGGCATCTGTCTGTCTTGTTCTTCCTTCTTCCTCAGGATCTCTTCATGAACTGGATCTACTTCTACAAACTACAGCAGAAAATTTTTCTATGACAACAAACCCTCTTGGCTAAGAAAAAAATTGTAAGTCCATAAAGAATTGAATATACCTTGGCAGAGTTGAGAAGTGTATGATCTAGGTCAAGTACGAGACAGAGCCTTCGAGCGGCGAACATTTTATTTTGTTCTTCTATCCTTCTCGCTCTCTCTTTTTGTATAGCAGCTTTTTGTTGGTCATCATAGCCATCTAATAAATGATCTACATCCCCCCACGGATTTGCTGATTTTGACGTACTTGCAGTCTCCCTTTGGCTGCATACTCCATGTACACTCTTAGGTTCAGTTGGATTATTACTTATTTTACTTGGAATTGGGTATGATGTGGTTGTCTGTGACTGCTCTCCTTGCTCTCTAACTGGTGAATGATCCTTGCTGCTCTGTGCATCTGATGAGAGACTGCCACTAGTTTTCAATGGTTCAGAGCTTGAAGTCTCAATATTGCTGTGAAGGACACGCCGAGGGTCACGAGGTTTCATGCGAATTTTTCCAATGTCATTCTGAGCATTCTATTAGGAAAGCCCCAATTAGCAATCAACAATGAGAATTCAATTTACATTTAAGTAAATTGCACTCAATTTAGTGGCCTATCGGCATAATTTGAAAATATACATGGTAGCCTACTAAATAACTGGCATGCTACATGAATTATAGATAATAAATATTTCAAAGACAAGGTAAACAAGATCGTGAATTCACAATGAAACAACCTAATAATATCAATGCTCACCATGGTCACTGTTTGGGGAGACATCTGGGGTTTAGATGTGGGATTCTTCCCAGCATCTGATGATGACGATACAGCACCAGCAGCATTCTGCTGAGCTTCTCCTGCCGCTCTTTTTTGTTGCTCCATCTTAAGCAGATTCATAAGCATCGTAGGGTTCACTGCAATGCCCTTAAAAAGAGAAGGCAACGAGACAACAGGTGCACAACCGCTTAACAAATTAGGAACTGAACTACTGTGCAAACCATTGAAGTTATGGCTCGAATCGAATCTCCTTTCAGAACCAACTTCTCTATTGTTCAATTGAACTCCACTGTTCTGTTGAGATGCTACCGTGCCATTATGTGCTGCTATCATTCTTTGCCTTTTCAAGTTATCCTCCACTGGCAGAGGCTCCTCAACTACCTTGTGTTTTCTAGAATTCAATGGTCCTGCAGCAGTAAACCCACTCTGAGGAGCACCATCAATTTCAGAATTCATGAACCTAAGCCTGGGATCTCTACTCTTTACCGACGCCTTTACAATAGGGTTTGGTTCTAAAGGACCAGCTGAACAATAAGCAGGAGCCATTTGAAAACCACCTGAGCTATTAACTGGGGGCATTTGCAGTCCACCTGAAGTATAAGCACGAGACACTTGATAACCAGCTGAGCTGTTAACAGAAGTCATTGGCGGAGCAGTACAAGGTCCACTGGCTCCAACGTTACCAGCAACAAACAAACTTGATACTTCACTAATAACATCATCGTCACCGCCATTTCCATCCTCAGAAGGAGTCGGGCTGGGAAGCCGAGTACTCGTGACGACAGAGTTCTTTCCATATTTCTGCTGATATGACGATACTGCCTTAAATGCATCAGTCACATAATGATGTGACGTGCCATTCTCAGCTTGAAGATTTTTAGGGGCAATGGGTTGAGCAAAAGGGATTTCACCTTTTCCGAATCCAGGCGGCTTCATCATAGGCAATGGTGGTGCATTATTACGAGTGGGTGAAGGGAGGCTGTCTTCATCATAATCAGCATGGAGGTTGAGCAATGGACTAAAATCAACTCGAGCCCTAGGGGTAGGTACTTCTAACTTTCCCAAAGTAGGTTTTTCAATGTTATTGCCCAAAACTTGGCCACCTCTTGCATTGGACATAGGTTTCTCTGCAACTATTGCAGGCCTTTCGGTTGTTTTTCCTGTCCTAACAGATTCAGAAGCCAGTTCTTGCAACTTCACATCTAACTGTTACACAAAATACACACTAAGTTTCTAATTTAAAAAATCATCATCGTACTCTTAACATAAGAGCCAAAAACAGGACCATACCTCTTTCACTTGCTCGGGTGTTAAACAAGCAGAATATTGGTTTTTAATGTGAACCAGGAACCTACAGCAAGAATCAGGATCACGGGTTTCAAATCATTTCAAACAGTACCAATTAATATAAACCATCTATTTCAGTAAGTTCCAGATATTTTAAAACCTTAGCAGCCTTTCTTCATTCTGACGATCTTTCTTCAAATTCCCCGAATTAAAAGCCTGCAACAACAAAAACCCAATTAACCAATTAGATAAAAAACCGAAAAAATTCAATCAAATTAGTCCGATGATTTCAGCTCAATCTTACAGAATAAACAGTTTGAATCCCCATGAATGCTTGCTGAGATAGAACATCAAGAACTGGTCCGTGCCCTTCTGAATACATTTGCTTCAAGCTCGCGAAACACTTTTGCAACCGAGAACAAACTTCTTCAAACGATCTGAACAACATAATAGAACCAACACTCAGTCCTAAAACATTTTTTTGTGACATTTTCAAATTAAAAGCCACCAAAAATTTAATCTTTAAACTTAAATTTGTGTTCTTTATCATTGTTAAACTTACGATTCTGCCTCTTCTATCGTAATAGTTTCTAATTCCTCTAAAATATCACCAAATTGCTTATCAAATTCACCAATCTCTTCTTCCTTCTCTTCCAAATCCATATCTTTCTCAATCTCCTCCTCCTCGTTCCCCCCCTCGACTGATTCAAGATTCCCTGGTTCGAGATTCACTGATTCATATCCCAATTCAATCTCTCCTTCCTCTATCTCACCCTCCTCCTTCTCAACCTCGCCCTCAACCCCACCCATATTCTCTCCAACAAGTTCATCATCACCATCATCGATTTCGTACTCAATTTCATCCTCCTCAGGCCTCACATCTAACCCTAACGGCTTGTTCTGCACCGCCTGAGCCCAAGCAAACGAGTACAGATCCTGATTATAGTTCCGTTGAACAGGGTACCTCATCACATCCCTCGTCCAAACCCTAGATCTACACTGCTGCTTCAAATCGTCCGCGTGCAGAGAACCCTCATCCAAACTATCTTCATTCCGATGCTTCGCCATTAGGGTTTGCGATCAGGATTAGACGGATGGATCTAAGGTGGACTTAAAGCCTGTTTTTTTTTAACGAGATTACTAGATTGAGATCGGATCGGAGGTCTTGCGGAGATAAATCGATTGATTAGGGTTTCAATTTGAGATGCTGGACGAGGAATTGAAGGGGTCGCCGCCGGATCCACAGAGCTCGCGAGAGGAGAAAATTTGGGAACGAGAAAAATTCCACCGATCGCGAGGAGCTCGTGGATTTGCGAGGTGTAATTATCTTTTTAGGTTTTGGTGGGAGGTTGTGATTAGATCTGGCCGTACACGTCATCAGCGGGTTGCGGATCGATTATCTTGAGTTCAGTTAGGAAAGGGGTGGATCCGTGGACAATCTGGAATCAGCCTTCAATGGGTTGTATGGGACATTGCGGGTTTGACCAGTGATTGGGACCACAAAGCAGCAAGGGAATGCGGACGTGGGTCTCAGTCAGAATGTGGTGCGACGTACCTACTAATTTCTTTGAATATTTTATTGCACTTGTTAAACTTAGTCCCTCACATTATTGACGTCACCAATGTGCTCCCGAATTGTTAGGCTATGCTGTCGAAATTAGTCCCTTTGTTACAAGTTATTCCTTCTGGGAACTAACCTGATTGCTGTTGGGTCTCCCGATCGTCATAAATTATTTCAAACTAATTCATCTAAATGCTAAGTCTATACCCTTGGTTGTGAAGGTACTTTTATTTCTTTTTCTAAGAGATTTCATCATGGTCTTTCCTCAGAATGGCTGTGAGAGGAAGCTGTTGGGAGAGTACTCTATCTCGCGAACATTTTTCTTCGTAGATACTTTTATTTCTTTTTCTAAGAGATTTCATCATGGCCTTTCCTCAGAACGACCGTGAGAGGAAGCTTAGGGTTCTGTACTTATCTCGGTCGAGGATGTCTATGGATGACGTGGCGTGGTTGCACGATAGGTACGTCATCTCTCGTGCGACGATGACCATAGGGGCGTCGGACAGCTTGACTCTGGTGCACATGCATGGTGAGGACCGGGTGCCTCTTTATTGGACGCTGCCACTGTATCCCTTTGTAAGGGAAGTTTTTGCGGCTCTAGGGGTTTCTCATTGTCAATTCCACCCGCACGCCATCTGCACTTTGATGGCGTTTATAGACGTCTGCTCCGAGGCGGAGGTGGTGCCCAGTATTAGCTTGTTGGGGCACGTGGTCAGCGTGGGGTCCGCTGAGGGGAACCCCCGCTATTTCTTCTGAGCGATTTTCACTTGGATGCTGACCTCCCTGAGTTGGACGAAGAACGGAAGAGGTTCTTCGCCTGAGTGTTTGGTGCCGACAATATATTGTCCTGCTCGGGTTGGCCCGAGGTGCAGGAGAATGTACTGGAGCCAAGGGCTCTTAGCAACCCTGAGGCCAAAGATCTCGAGAAGCTTCGGGGTCTTCTCGGTCTTCAGGAGTCCTGAGCTTTGGTCGGAGAAGAATTCCTAGAGATGAGTCATCCTTGTCCTCCTCCTGCTCCGAAGCGACAGTCCTTCCTTCACCAATGGAGGTCAGTAGAAGAGGTGCCGACTCGGAGGAGCCGAGTTCTTCCAGAAGGCCTTTGAAGAAGAAGAAGAGGGATTCTGAGGGTGACGACACTGAGCCTTAGGAAAGAACTTTTTAAGAATAGATGTCGTCTACCCCCTGCCTTTTTCTCTTTCTTTATATTTTGCCCCTTTTAAGCCCAGTTGGGCCCCTGTTTTGTAGAAAATGTACGAGACACTTTTTAGAATGAGAGTGATTTTTCTTGTCTTTTGCTTTTGAGAGTTGCTGAAATGATTTGAACATGTTGGACTCTGCTGCTCTTTTTTTTTTTTTATAATGTCGGTCCCTTGGAGCCTTATCTCGGGTTCATCAAGGTGGGGAACCATATGTTAGACCCTAGAGGGGGGGTGATTAGGGTCTTATGCTAATCTAATCCGATTTAAATACCAATTAA